GCTCGTCTTTCCTGGTGAGTCAGAGCCCTGGTCCCGAGGGGGACCTACCTGCCCCATAGGCTGCTCTGTGGGACCGAGGGGTCCCCGAGAAGGGGTGCGCGGAGCTGAGTGCGCGTCCCTGAGCCCCCCTAGCCCTCCCCGTGCAGCCTTTGGGGCCTCACCTGAGCGGGACCCGGCGACTCCTGCTCTCCCGGCATCATTCCCAGGTCGTCCGGGATGAGCTCCTTTCTCATCCCAGTCCTGCCTCTGATCTCCACAGTATTTTGGGGCAATCAGTTGTGCCCTTCAGTTGTGCTCTGCACCAAAAAGCCTTTCTTCTAAGCCTGCTGCGGAGGTGTCAATGGGTATCGGAGGTTTCAGTGGGTATCGCTAGTTCCTTTGTTCTCAAACAGGGAAAAAACATTTCCTGTAACACCGTTAATGCAATGAGGAGCTAGGTTGGGCTCTCCTTGCCTCCCCTCTGGTGAAGCTCTTCAAAGCTTTGGTGCCAGGCACTTGCGTCAAGATGAGGCCAATGAAGATCTCTGCTCCAGCCCTGCTCCTTGGTGGTGCTAATGAGCAGCGCTTGGGCCCTCTTAGTCCTTCGCTTGTAGAATAACATCGTACGATGTTAGTGCAAGTGTCTTGTGACAGCAAGCTTCATGTTCTGCCAGTCTGCTCGTTACGTCTGTGCAAGGGCAGCCACGTTTAGAGCCTCTGCCAAGACTGAAACTGCTGCTTGCAGGAGTGGGGTGGGTCTTGCTGGGCTCAGTGGGGTGGGCTTTGCTGGGCTATTTTTGTGCGTGTTTTTCCCAAGGGCTGTTTCACAGACTTCACCTGCTTGGCACGAGTGTCTCTGTCTGCCTGGTGGGAAGCGTGCGTGCTGGTTCCCACATTCCCTTTCTGGAGCTGGTGCCAACGTGTCAGCCGCTAGTGACTGGCCTTGCTCTGCGCAGCCTCCTGGTCTACCCGCATGATGTAAATGCTATTTCAGAGCATCGCGGTTCCAGAATTTAGTGAATTCTCTATGTGCAGATCAGAGGACTCGGTCAGCTGGTCAGACTCTTAGGTCCAAGTTGCCCAGAGTTCTAAGCTTTAGACAGTTATTTATCCTCCATTTATGCTGATGTATTCCCTCGCTGCCGCTGGAGTGACATGTGCCTTGTCACCAGCATGTGACACGAACCTCGTCCTGCTTCCATCCCAGCACAAATCAGAGCATTTATTACGTGCTTGGCTTTTCTCGGTGCCTGTCAACACTCCACTCCCTTTTAAAGTTTCAAGTGACACAAGTCCAGGAATAAGACACGGGCCTGACCCTGACATACAGTGTGTTTAAAAAGGTTTCTGTGCCAGCGGGTGCAGCCTGGCTGCTGCTGCAAAGCGCCGCGGTCCAGGTTGCTGCCTGAGAGCAATGCGTGCTGCGACCGCGAGGATGGAGCAGCGCCTCCTGAAAGACAGCTCTGCTCCCAGAGGCGCCCGGCCGAACAGCTGGGGTGAGAACGGTCCTCGCTTGGGCCGCTTCCTTAGCCCCAGCATCCCAAGACACGTGTAGAGAGACACGACTGCCCAGGACGTGCGCAGAGAGCTGCAATGTTCCGGGACACGTGAAGCGAGATGCGACGTCCCGGGACACACGCAGCAAGATGCGACGTCCCGGGACACACGCAGCGAGATGCGACGTCCTGGGACACACGCAGAGAGCTGTGATGTCCTGGGACACACGCAGGGAGATGCGACATCCCAGGACACGTGCAGCAAGATGTGATGTCCCGGGATGCG